AAAGAGAAGCAGAGATTAGAATAGGAAGTGAGGAGAAAAGGAAGAAAGAGAAGCAGAGACGAGAATAGGGAGGAGGAGAAAAGGAAGAAAGAGAAGCAGAGATTAGAATAGGGAGTGACCCAGAAAAAATAAGAAAGACAAGCAGAGACGAGAATAGGGGAGTGAGGAGAAAAGGAAGAAAGAGAAGCAGAGATGAGAATAGGGAGTGAGGAGAAAAGGGAAGAAAGAGAAGCAGAGACGAGAATAGGGAGGAGGAGAAAAGGAAGAAAGAGAAGCAGAGATTAGAATAGGGAAGTGAGGAGAAAAGGAAGAAAGAGAAGCAGAGACGAGAATAGGGAGGAGGAGAAAAGGAAGAAAGAGAAGGAGACGAGAATAGGGAGGAGGAGAAAGGAAGAAAGAGAAACAGAGATTAGAATAGGAAGTGAGGAGAAAAGGAAGAAAGAGAAGCAGAGACGAGAATAGGGGAGGAGGAGAAAAGGAAGAAAGAGAAGCAGAGATTAGAATAGGAGACCCAGAAAATAAGAAAGACAAGCAGAGACGAGAATAGGGAGGAGGAGAAAAGGAAGAAAGAGAAGCAGAGACGAGAATAGGGGAGGAGGAGAAAAAGGAAGAAAGAGAAGCAGAGATTAGAATAGGGAGGAGGAGAAAAGGAAGAAAGAGAAGCAGAGACGAGAATAGGGAGGAGGAGAAAAGGAAGAAAGAGAAGCAGAGATTAGAATAGGAAGGAGGAGAAAAGGAAGAAAGAGAAGCAGAGATTAGAATAGGAAGGAGGAGAAAAGGAAGAAAGAGAAGCAGAGACGAGAATAGGGAGGAGGAGAAAAGGAAGAAAAGAGAAGCAGAGATTAGAATAGGGAGTGAGGAGAAAAGGAAGAAAGACAAGCAGAGACGAGAATAGGGGAGGAGGAGAAAAGGAAGAAAGAGAAGCAGAGACGAGAATAGGGAGGAGGAGAAAAGGAAGAAAGAGAAGCAGAGATTAGAATAGGAGGACCCAGAAAAATAAGAAAGACAAGCAGAGACGAGAATAGGGAGGAGGAGAAAAGGAAGAAAGAGAAGCAGAGAGAAATAGGGAGGAGGAGAAAAGGAAGAAAGAGAAGCAGAGACGAGAATAGGGAGGAGGAGAAAAGGAAGAAAGAGAAGCAGAGATTAGAATAGGAAGTGAGGAGAAAAGGAAGAAAGAGAAGCAGAGATTAGAATAGGAAGTGAGGAGAAAAGGAAGAAAGAGAAGCAGAGACGAGAATAGGGAGGAGGAGAAAAGGAAGAAAGAGAAGAGAGATTAGAATAGGGGAGGACCCAGAAAAAAATAAGAAAGACAAGCAGAGACGAGAATAGGGAGGAGGAGAAAAGGAAGAAAGAGAAGCAGAGACGAGAATAGGAAGTGAGGAGAAAAGGAAGAAAGAGAAGCAGAGATTAGAATAGGGAAGTGAGGAGAAAAGGAAGAAAGAGAAGCAGAGACGAGAATAGGGAGGAGGAGAAAAGGAAGAAAGAGAAGCAGAGAGATTAGAATAGGGAGGACCCAGAAAAATAAAGAAAGACAAGCAGAGACGAGAATAGGGTGAGGAGAAAAGGAAGAAAGAGAAGCAGAGACGAGAATAGGGAGGAGGAGAAAAGGAAGAAAGAGAAGCAGAGACGAGAATAGGGAGGAGGAGAAAAGGAAGAAAGAGAAGCAGAGATTAGAATAGGGAAGTGAGGAGAAAAGGAAGAAAGAGAAGCAGAGATTAGAATAGGGAAGGAGGAGAAAAGGAAGAAAGAGAAGCAGAGACGAGAATAGGGAGGAGGAGAAAAGGAAGAAAGAGAAGCAGAGATTAGAATAGGGAGGACCCAGAAAAATAAGAAAAAGACAAGCAGAGACGAGAATAGGGAGTGAGGAGAAAAGGAAGAAAGAGAAGCAGAGACGAGAATAGGAAGTGAGGAGAAAAGGAAGAAAGAGAAGCAGAGATTAGAATAGGAAGTGAGGAGAAAAGGAAGAAAGAGAAGCAGAGACGAGAATAGGGAGTGAGGAGAAAAGGAAGAAAGAGAAGCAGAGATTAGAATAGGGAGTGACCCAGAAAAATAAGAAAGACAAGCAGAGACGAGAATAGGGAGTGAGGAGAAAAGGAAGAAAGAGAAGCAGAGACGAGAATAGGGAGTGAGGAGAAAAGGAAGAAAGAGAAGCAGAGACGAGAATAGGGAGTGAGGAGAAAAGGAAGAAAGAGAAGCAGAGATTAGAATAGGAAGTGAGGAGAAAAGGAAGAAAGAGAAGCAGAGATTAGAATAGGAAGTGAGGAGAAAAGGAAGAAAGAGAAGCAGAGACGAGAATAGGGAGTGAGGAGAAAAGGAAGAAAGAGAAGCAGAGATTAGAATAGGGAGTGACCCAGAAAAATAAGAAAGACAAGCAGAGACGAGAATAGGGAGTGAGGAGAAAAGGAAGAAAGAGAAGCAGAGACGAGAATAGGGAGGAGGGAGAAAAGGAAGAAAGAAAGCAGAGACGAGAATAGGGAGTGAGGAGAAAAGGAAGAAAGAGAAGCAGAGATTAGAATAGGAAGTGAGGAGAAAAGAAGAAAGAGAAGCAGAGATTAGAATAGGAAGAGGAGAAAAGGAAGAAAGAGAAGCAGAGACGAGAATAGGGAGGAGGAGAAAAGGAAGAAAGAGAAGCAGAGATTAGAATAGGAAGTGAGGAGAAAAGGAAGAAAGAGAAGCAGAGATTAGAATAGGAAGTGAGGAGAAAAGGAAGAAAGAGAAGCAGAGACGAGAATAGGGGAGGAGGAGAAAAGGAAGAAAGAGAAGCAGAGATTAGAATAGGGAGTGACCCAGAAAAAATAAGAAAGACAAGCAGAGATGAGAATAGGGAGGAGAGAAAGGAAGAAAGAGAAGCAGAGACGAGAATAGGGAGGAGGAGAAAAGGAAGAAAGAGAAGCAGAGACGAGAATAGGGAGGAGGAGAAAAGGAAGAAAGAGAAGCAGAGATTAGAATAGGAAGGAGGAAAAGGAAGAAAGAGAAGCAGAGACGAGAATAGGGAGGAGGAGAAAAGGAAGAAAGAGAAGCAGAGACGAGAATAGGGAGTGAAGAGAAAAGGAAGAAAGAGAAGCAGAGATTAGAATAGGAAGTGAGGAGAAAAAAGGAAGAAAGAGAAGCAGAGATGAGAATAGGGAGGAGGGGGGAAAAGGAAGAAAGAGAAGCAGAGATTAGAATAGGAAGTGAGGAGAAAAGGAAGAAAGAGAAGAGAGAGACGAGAATAGGGAGGAGGAGAAAAGGAAGAAAGAGAAGCAGAGATTAGAATAGGAAGGAGGAGAAAAGGAAGAAAAAGAGAAGCAGAGACGAGAATAGGGAGGAGGAGAAAAGGAAGAAAGAGAAGCAGAGATTAGAATAGGGAGTGACCCAGAAAAATAAGAAAGACAAGCAGAGACGAGAATAGGGAGTGAGGAGAAAAGGAAGAAAGAGAAGCAGAGACGAGAATAGGGAGTGAGGAGAAAAGGAAGAAAGAGAAGCAGAGATTAGAATAGGAAGTGAGGAGAAAAGGAAGAAAGAGAAGCAGAGACGAGAATAGGGAGTGAGGAGAAAAGGAAGAAAGAGAAGCAGAGATTAGAATAGGAAGTGAGGAGAAAAGGAAGAAAGAGAAGCAGAGATTAGAATAGGAAGTGAGGAGAAAAGGAAGAAAGAAAGCAGAGACGAGAATGAGGGAGGAGGAGAAAAGGAAGAAAGAGAAGCAGAGATTAGAATAGGAAGGAGGAGAAAAGGAAGAAAGAGAAGCAGAGATTAGAATAGGAAGTGAGGAGAAAAGGAAGAAAGAGAAGAGAGACGAGAATAGGGAGGAGGAGAAAAGGAAGAAAGAGAAGCAGAGATTAGAATAGGGGAGTGACCCAGAAAAAAAATAAGAAAGACAAGCAGAGACGAGAATAGGGAGTGAGGAGAAAAGGAAGAAAGAGAAGCAGAGACGAGAATAGGGAGGAGGAGAAAAGGAAGAAAGAGAAGCAGAGATTAGAATAGGGAAGTGAGGAGAAAAGGAAGAAAAAGAGAAGCAGAGACGAGAATAGGGGAGGAGGAGAAAAGGAAGAAAGAGAAGCAGAGACGAGAATAGGGAGTGAGGAGAAAAAGGAAGAAAGAGAAGCAGAGATTAGAATAGGGAGTGAGGAGAAAAGGAAGAAAGAGAAGCAGAGACGAGAATAGGGAGTGAGGAGAAAAGGAAGAAAGAGAAGCAGAGATTAGAATAGGGAGTGACCCAGAAAAATAAGAAAGACAAGCAGAGACGAGAATAGGGAGTGAGGAGAGGAAGAAGAAAGAGAAGCAGAGGTTCGAATAGGGAGTGAGGAGAAAAATAAGAAAGACAAGCAGAGACGAGAATAGGGTGTGAGGAGAGGAAGAAGAAAGAGAAGAACAAAAAGAAGCAAAAAAGAGAAAAAATAGAAGAAAAAGAAGCAGAGACGAGAAAAAGAAGAAAGAAAGAAATGCGGAGATGAGAGTAAAAGAAGAAGTAGAGGGGAGAAAAAGAAGAGAGAGACGCAGAGATGAGAAAAGAAAAAAGTGAAACGAAAAAGGAGGAGGAGAAGCAGAGACGAGAAAAAGAAGGAAAAAGTAGAAGAGACGAGAAAAAAAAGAGAAGTATAGACGAGAAAAAGAAGAAAAAGAAAGAAAAGAAACAGACAAAAAAAGAAGAAGAAAAAGCACAGAAGAGAAAAGAAAGTAAAAGGAAAAAGAAGAAAAAATAGCAGTAATGAGAAAAAATAGACAAACGAGAAGGAGAAGCAGAGGCGCGAAAATGCTGAATAAAGAGACGCAGAGATGGTAAATAGAAAAATAAAGGAACTACTTCAATATGGTGGACAGAAGCAACGAAAATGAAGGCGAATGAAAGTGGTCGTGGAAGAGAGAATGAAAGGAGCATCGAAAGAGTTAATATGAAAGCAAGTTAAAGTGACGATGAAATTTGAATTAAAGAGAAAACTAATGAGCGAGCGAGCGAGAGAGAAAGAGAGAGAGAGAGAGAGAGATGTATGGAGAAATGCCACGAGAGACGCAAACACGCATTATATATAAATGAGAGAGAAGCAGAAACGAGAAAAAGAAGAAAGAGAAGTAGAGAAGAGAAAAGAAAATCGTGAAATGAAAAAGAAGGAGAAACAGAGACGAGAAAAGTAAAGCAGACACGGGAAGAAAACGGAAGCGAAGCAGAGACGAGAAAAAAGTTGAAAGAGAAACAGTGACGAGAAAAAGGAGAAAAAAAAATAAACAGAGACGATAAGAAAAAGGAGCAGAGACGAGAAAAAAGAAGGAAAATAATCAGAGACGAGGAAAAGAATAAAATACAACAGAGAGAGAGAGAGAGAGAGAGAGAGAGAGAGAGAGAGAGAGGGGGGATAGGGAGATGTTAGAGAAAGGCAGAGGGAGAGTGATGTGCGCGCACACACACGCACACACACACAGATGTGAGGGAGAAAAACCAAGAGAAACACATACACATTATATATAAATAAGAGAGAGAGAGGACGAGAGAGAATGTGTGAAGGAGAGAGAGAAAGCATGAGAGATGGAGAGAGAGAGAAAGAGGGAGAGAGAGTGATAGACTTTGTGAGGGAGAGAGGGAAAGTGTGAGAGAAAGAGAGAGAGAAAGAGTGAGAGAGAGAAAAAGAGAGAGAAAGAGGATATATATATATATATATATATATATATATATATATATATATATATAAAGAGAGAGAACGAGAAAGAGAAAGAGTGAGAGAGAAATAGTGCGTGCGCGAAGGAGAAAACGTTGAGAGAGAAGAGAGAAAGAGTGAGAGATAAGGGAGTGAGAGTAAGAGCCAGAGAGAGATGTGGGGAAGGAAAGCCATGAGAAACACATACACATATATAAATGAGATATAAACATAGATAGATAGATAGATAGATAGATAGACAGAAGGATAAATATGGAGAGAGAGAGAGAGAGAGAGAGAGAGAGAGAGAGAGAGAGAGAGAGAGAGAACGACAGGTATTTGGGCACACCTTTTGCTGGTCAGAAATGGAAGACGTCAAATTTTAATAACTTCATTTCTTTTTCAGCCGTATCAGAAGCATTATCATGGCAGCAACCAATAAAGAAATAAAAAGAAAAAAAAATCACTCCATGCTCGCGCCATAAGCCGTCAACCCTTGTCATTCGGTGGTTGCGAGCTGCCTGAAAATGGCCGGGTGAGCAGAAGGAAAGACAGTTGACTCTGTGCAGTGTGTCCCTGAAGTAACACGCGGTGATACACATCAAGTTCACTAAACTGCTCTGGTAGTGTAACTTTTATTGTTGTAAATGTCACTGTCTCCGTCGAAGTACTGAACACATTGATCAAGCCCTGGATCAAAGAGATGGCCGTACACGTCGCAGTAAGACTCAGTTACCCGCCATAAGACCTACGAGCTTTTTTTTTTCTTGGTGCTCAGAGTACATAAATTCAAGACACCGGATTTACTGTTGAAATAGCTTGATACAATCGCCATTTTTACTCCAATAGTTTCTTTTCTCGCACTTCCCGCCTGTGGAACTCCCTTCCGTTTACTTGCTTCCCTTATAACTACAATCTTTAAAAATTTAAATGCAACGATATTTGCCATCTTCGGTCTTCTTGAATCCCTTTCATTTTTTGTCCTTTTCTTAATTGTCTCTATTCTCAGTCTTCACTTTCACTCTCATACCCACCTTTCTTGCGGTGAAATGATTAAAACAAATCCAGTATTAAGTCGATCTTTGACTTTTTATTGAGTTATCTACACTTTATTGTTATTTACGAATGTCAAGTTACTGATAACTGCGTACTTCAAACAGATTGGCGAAAAGGAATTTTTATATATGTTTTTTTTTTCTTTTACAAAGCTGTGAAATGCACAGTTATATAGTACATGTTAATTCGTTTAAATAAATGGCTAAATAAACTAAAATGTATATATCCAGCGATATGACCACCGAAATTAAACATCATTCAGCCTGGTAAGTAGAAGGTTAATCGCTTGGAAATGGCAGGTGCTGTAAACTTGGGCGAATGCAATGGATAACGGCTCGGAATTGGAAATCAGAGAACCGAGGTTCAATTCCAATCGGGTTCATTATATTCTCTGACGCGCACATACTCTTGGGAATGATATGAATCTATCTATCCTGAGTTCAGTTAGTAGGACTTGTATTAGAAAATCATTATTCTCCTCTCAAAATTCTTGCAATCTAAAAATATTTACAGGCTTTAAATAGACCGAAAAAGGTTGATAAGCCGTAAAAGAAGGAAATAAATCAATCATACCCGCCTATACTTGTGTCACTGCTTTCGGAAAACTTGAAGACAAAAGTACAGATAACGGTTCATAAGTCAGGCATTGGCATTGTGTTGTTATTATGAATGAGGACCGACTTCTAAAATGATAGATTTTACAAGTGGACCAGTTAAATTGAGTAGTGTTTTTTTTCTACCTAACTTTCTGAAAAGATATTGTTTTTGTTTATGATGAATCTCATTGTTTTTAAATTATGTTTTAAATTACCTGGCGATCTATCTATCTATCTATCTATCTATCTATCTATCTATCTATCCCAATATATTCATTATCTATGTTCATAACTCCATCTATCTATCTATCTATCTATCTATCTATCTATCTATCTATCTATCTATCTATGTTCATTTCCCTCTATCTCGGCCTGTTCTTATCTATCTATCTATCTATCTATCTATCTATCTATCTATCTATCTATCTATCTATTTCAGTATGTTTATATCTATCTCAGTTTGTTCATATCTATCTATCTATCTATCTATCTATCTATCTATATTCCTTATCTATGTTCATAACTCCATATCTCCTATCTATCTTCATCTATCTATCTATCTATCTATCTATCTATCTATCTACCACAGTCTGTTCATTCTCCTCTCTCTCTCTCTCTCATATATATATATATATATATATATATATATATATATATATATATATATATATATATGTATGTATGTATGTAATATAAATATATTAATTGAGAAATATGACAAAGGAGAAATGGGATTGATTTCAATTTCTTTACAACATTCGAATCGTGAACGCTAGAAGCACTAACCTCTGCAGAACAATTCAATTTAACTCCCAGTGACCTAGCATCATCTCCCATCCACACGGCATCGTCTGCACTTGTCTGCTATCAACCTTCCCAGAATCCACCACTCTAACATAACGCTTGAAATACAATAGACAAATGTCATTAGTTCTGTCAATGTAAAGTTCGCGATCTCGCATTGCATCGTTTCTCATCTCCTTCGTTGTTTTGTCCACTCTATACTGGCTTAAAACATTTTTTAAAAACATTCTGACAGGCTCGATGGCTATCGATCAACAATCGTCTACATCTTTCGATATAAAATTATATTCCCTCCTCAGTTGTCGAATAAAAGAAATTATTTGCTATATTTATAAGGAACGTTGCTTGATAAGGCTTAGGCTAATATTAAAAAAAAGAAATGACATTGGTTTCTTTTGACGCTAGTTATTCTTATTTTTTTAATCATTTCACCCTAAGGAAGACAATATTGCCACTAAGACACAAGGATTTACTGTGACTGAAAGAGAATGCGAAGGCATTGGCGAAGAGAAAGGACAATAAAAGAACAGGTTTCAGGAAAACAGAAAATGGAGATAATGCTACTAAGACGCAAGGGGTATCTGCGAGTGAAAGAAATTGAGAAGACTTTAGTGAGGAGAAAGGACAATAAAAGAAGAGATTTTAGGAAGACAGAAGATGGCGGTCCTGCCGCTGAGACAAAACGGGTTACTGGGAGTGAAAAAGAATGTGAAGAATTTAGAGAGAATGGATAATAAAAGAAACAGGTTTCAGGAAGAGAGAGAATGGCGCTAATGCCACTGCGCAAATAATTACAGGGACTGAAAGAGAAATGTGAAGACTTTATTAAGGAGAAAGGACAATAAAAGAAACAGGTTTCAGGAAGACAGAAAATGGTGCTAATGCCACTGCGCAAATAATTACAGGAACTGAAAGAGAAATGTGAAGATTTATTAAGGAGAAAGGACAATAAAAGAAACAGGTTTCAGGAAGACAGAAAATGGTGCTAATACCACTGCACAAATAATTACAGGGACTGAAAGAGAAATGTGAAGACTTTATTAAGGAGAAAGGACAATAAAAGAAACAGGTTTCAGGAAGACAGAAAATAGCGATAATGCCACAGCGTAAATAATTACAGGGACTGAAAGAGAAATGTGAAGACTTTATTAAGGAGAAAGGACAATAAAAGAAACAGGTTTCAGGAAGACAGAAAATAGCGATAATGCCACTGCGTAAATAATTACAGGGACTGAAAGAGAAATGTGAAGTCTTTATTAAGGAGAAAGGACAATAAAAGAAACATGTTTCAGGAACACAGAAAATGGTGCTAATGCCACTGCGCAATTAATTACAAGGACTGAAAGAGAAAAGTGAAGACTTTATTAAGGAGAAAGGACAATAAAAGAAACAGGTTTCAGGAAGACAGAAAATGGCGCTAATGCCACTGCACAAATAATTACAGGGACTGAAAGAGAAATGTGAAGACTTTATTAAGGAGAAAGGACAATAAAAGAAACAGGTTACAGGAAGACAGAAAATGGCGATATTGACTCTAAGACGCAAGTGGTTACTTGAGTGCAAGAGAATGTGTAGACATTAGTGAGGAGAAAGGACAACAAAAGAACAGGTTTTAGGATGACAGGAGATGGCGATAATGTCACTAAGACGCATGGAGTTACTGGCAGTGAAAGAGAATGTGATGTCTTTTGTGAGCAGAAAGGGCAATTGAAGAACAAGATTTTTGGATGAAAGTATATAGCCCCTGGTGTTGCTTTTATATATCGGAAGATTGTAGGTAACAGAAAGCCAGAAATCGGAAGAGAGTTTCACAGGCGTGGTTCCAGTTAAAAGAAACTGTTAGAATAGAGTATACGTTTGCATTCAGCTGCGTCAGCCTTAAAACAGCGAGACCTAACGACCAGTCTAGTAGTACGTTTATATTCTTGCTTTTGTGGGAACAAGAAGGAATGATCATCAGAAGGATTACAATGGAAATATGTGTAGAAAAGACAGAGGAAAGCCATTTCGCAGGGGTAGGAATGTGACTGAATTTGTGATGCCAATTCAGGATCGATTACACTACTGACCCTCTTTTGGATTTTTGGGACTCTCGAGATATATAGTAAGAGCAGTAAGACAATATTCCCCCTTTAGCTGCTAGGGCTAGACCAGACGAAAGTCCAGTTGTCAGGTTTTAGTCATCTGGAGTTTTGGAGGTGCAACCATAGATCCTTGTATCATCAGCTCCGAAGAAAAATATGCAGGCATTGAAAGAGGCACGGTAGTTTGAACTGATAGAGTTAGTGTAATGAGTTCGATCTTCACGTACTGCCTCGTTACTATGTCTTTGTAAATTTAGCAAATACAAAATGGACGTGTAATATGCGAGGATATTTAGCAATCAGTCCGATTTTGTGACGTATTCGATCCTAATTGAGTGTGATTACATCCGAAGCATAGTACGGTGCAGTCTATAAACTTCTGCCATTTAACCACCATAGAGAAACGTTTTTGCCTGCCATCGGCATGGCCGACGTTTGACTCCTGGAGTGCAACACACTGCGCCTTCTTGGACTGAGGTTTTCAACTAATTTCAAGTGGAGCGACTACATCAAACCAATGACTGCATTTACTGCAAGGAAAGCTGGGTCATGTATCATGCCAGAAAAATTTTCTCGTGCATTTCAAATCTATTATTCGTCATTGCATTGAATACTGTTGCCATATCTGGTTTGGGGCTTCTGCTATTCATCTCGAGGTTCTTGACAAAATACAAAGAAAGATCTGCAATATTATCGGTTCTGACCTGGCTTCAGCCATTTAACATGGCCTCCCTCGATCTTTTCCATAAATAGTTTCATGGCAATTGTTCTAATGACTCTCCCTCCTTGATACCTCGACAGATTGATTTTTAAGCGTAATACTAGATTGGCAACTAGATTCGCCATCAACTGTCTTCCTGACTCCTGTTTTTTGTTGTCCTTTCTCCTTATTAACGTCTTCTCATTCTCTTTCCTTCCCAGTAACTCCTTGCGTCCTAGTGATATTATCACCTTGCAGTAAATTGTTGTTTTTCTCACTAACTCGTGTCCTCGTTTATTCCATTTTTATCTATCATTCACAGTCAAAATTTGCATATGCGCAAAGATAATCTCGTGAAAAAGCATCCAATTCCGAGATCTAACTATTTTAAATATGTGACCCGCGAAGGCGCCATTTCTTTCTCCGTTGTACTGTTTATACCGTGAGGCACGTTCGAATCTTTTCTTGCGCTGGAAGTAAATTATTTTATTCTTGATTTTATT